TATGTTTTTACATGCCTTAGATGGTAGGTTTTGCTTCCTAAGTTAAATTTCTATACTATTACCTCGGCAATTACTAAAAAATATTCCTAGGCAATAAAACTACAGGCAAACCTGCACAAATATATGAAAGGTTTTCGCCCTATTTCGTTTAAGTTGATGAAGGACTGGTAGTAGAATATTCCCACAATTATATGAGTAAAGAGGACATTTTCATTTAGTTTCACATAGCTTTGCTTTCCCAAAAGTTGTTCTTATCTCAGCTGGAGTGGACTGCAGTTTCGACCCAGGATTTGAACAACTTTCGGGAAAGCAAGGCTCTGTAAAATTCAATGGAAACTTCAGCTCTGCTCATATCATTGTGGGAAAATTCGACTACTAGTCCTTTATCACGTTAAACGAAATAGGGTGAATACATCTCATATAATTGATTTACTGGTAGTCTCTAAAGTTTATTTATGCTAAAAGTCTAGTCCTATATTTAAATTTATTTAGTTTCGATGGAATTTGATTATTACGCTACCTCCGGGTTGGGAAATACCAAAGACTTACTAAATGATAGTTTTAACGCCTACTATTTTTATTTGGCTTTCGGCGTGATCGACAAAGCCACTGTATTTCGGCACAAAGTGAGCCAATGTCTCACTATGCTCTATAGGCTCATAATGTATCTAAATACGAATAAATGCATGATTCCTAATTACAGCATCCTTCTGTTTATACAAACACTGTGGTTCTTCTGGTGGAAAATATTTAAGAATTAAGAATAATGTTGTGGAAAGCTTGGCAAAGGCCTTCAGAATATAGTGACTGATTTAGCGTATGTATTTAACGACATCACCAAATTTTAATTCTATATCCTCAATTGGATATCTGAAGTCTCACTCTATGCCAGACTTAGTTAAAACTACTTGGTTTAAGTTTTACACGATTAGACCAGGCATCCTTTTGACTAATTTTTAAGAAGCCAGTCACTTCTTTTTAATTTAGGGTAGTGTTCCTGAAAATATTTTTAAGAGTGTTTACTTGGATTAGCATTCAGTTGATGAGACTTCGTATGATAAGTTCTTAAAAATCATTTTCCTATGCTTCTAGAAGCAAATCTCTTTGACGAGTTGTAGTGTTATACAAAGATTGACAAGTTTTACTGGCGATTCTCACTACAATGCCGGTGCAACGTTTGTGAATGTACTAAATACTCAGTCCGAAATTATCATACACACTCTTGACTCCGAATAAGGCGTTTTCCTCTAGGTCTCTTTGACATTACGAACAAGTTGTGTAAACAAATTAAAAAATAATACCCCTTGATTTTCAATTTAATGTTCAAATCGATGGCGTTCTAATATTTGAGACCGTTCCCACCGCTATAGAACATTGTAATCAGGTGAAATGATGCCTTGTATGGCAGTGCTGGCATGTTCATCTTGCCTCTCCTTTCTCAGAAGGACAACAGTACTTACGTCTCTATTCGCCCAGCCCAGTGATCTCATTTGATCACTGCCACAAAATTCGTGCTACTTTTGGCTTTATTTCATATGGCCTGCCTCATGTGTTTGATACCACGCATACTTAACACTTTCATGTAGGCTCCAAAAGCCAGGATCCTCGAGCTATAATTTGCTTTGGCTCAGCTTGAAATGGTCAAACCCTTACTTGAAGAATCACTTCAATGATTATATCCGTGCACTGTAAGCCAAAATTCTGTGTTTAGGGCCCATATCACACGTAGAATTATGGTTGAATTGATCTCGCGCTTCTCTCCATAATTCATAAGCTGTCACTATTTTATTCCCTGGTCTTCTGCGTGCCAACCCTTGAGTGTTATAGCCGCTTTTCTGGTGCATATGAGCTCATTCTAAGCGTATGTTTTTAATTTCCATTTGTTTCGTGAGAGGCTCTAAGTTTTTATTCATTTTCTTCATAATCAAACTACCTTCTTGATTTAGTTGTCTTCTTTTTGATGGTCATGTTACTCTATGATATCTCCTGTATTCGCTTAAGCAATATGCCGGCCTCCAGCCTCCTGTTCATTAGAGCTTTTTGCTTCATGATAACGACGACCTCTAGAATCGTGAATTTCCCTGCATTCTCACCATATGCGCCTTCCAGTCCCTTTACTGTCCCATTAGTGAAATATGCCTCATATGATAGAACTTAGTTTGCTTGGCTACCTTATTGCACATACTTAGGATTGCAGAAAAGCCTTCCTATAGTCTAATAAATAATATATGCTTTCATAAAATAGTGAAAGCCTAGTTCCAAAAATCAGAGTGTAAAACGATAAAACAGAAAATTTTTAGAAGAAGCTAAGAAATAATAGATTTGAAATTCATAAATTTTTACGATACACAAGCTTAAATGCGAAAACAAGGTCAAACAACTTCTATTAAATGCATATACATCGAATAATAAACCTATATTGCAAAAATGAGTTTAAATAAATTATATAAATTATGATTAATTAGCCAAAGATGGAAATGGCATGCGATTTGTGTACCAAGTGAAAAGAATTCAAAAATTAAATTAAATGAGTAGAACACAATCTTATTTGATTAATAACAAACTCTTCTTAATTCATTGATGTGTCCTATAAACTTATATTTCAATTTTGTATTAGCTTGCGCTAGTTAGTTCCAATTGCATTCTTACAAATATTTGTGAACAAAATGCCTATTGAAAGTACGCGATCCAGTGACATAATTATTTTCGGTGGATTTTGAAACTTAATTCAATTTATTAACTTTTTTCTTTAGAGAAATTATTAGGGTATACTAATTTTTCCGTCATTTCATATGGCAATTAAGTTCAAGAAGTCAAATATTTCTATATCTTGTAAGACAACAGATAAAACTGGTTTATCAAGAAGAGTCTTAGCTTATTGATAAAGGCGAAAACTATAAATCTTATGCCATTGGAAGCCTCTCCGATTTAAGTGCAGTAACACTTTAATTTGTTCTCAAAGAACTCACTTTTGACTGGAGAACATAATCCTATTTACCCTGAAAGAAATTAAGTACAGGATTTGCTTAGATTGTCAGTGTGAAATACATTTGGATAGATAGATGGATTTACCTCCATTTTCTCTTGCTCCTTCTGCATGTTTGCTTGCAAAACAAGCATTTTTGTGGAAAGTTCTTCGAGTCGGGGATTGATCATGACCAGCTCCATAACAGCCATATCATCAATTTTACCAAACTTTTGAATCATCAATTCATCGCATTTGCTGGTCATTCTCTCCAGCTCTCGCTATAACAAGAATAAATAGAATTTATCATGGATAAAAGAAGAATAAAAGTTTATACTAGTCAAGGGTATAAAGGCTTTGCAATGACCCGGTTAGAAGATAAAATATATCGTATTTCGAAATCAGGAACTGTTTGAAGGAGCAACCAGGGCATCAATTAACATGTAGGAAATTTATGAATTGTTTATGAGTGTCAACTATACCCAACGAAGCAAATTATGCAGAGTCCGGGTTTTCTCATAAGAAATTAATGGCTTGGCTAGATAAAGGTAAGATTAAATTAATCAGTTCACATGACTTAGATTTCTATTGGCCTATTGAGGATATTATTATTATTCTGCAAGCATGCATATGTATATTAGCACTGTGCGAAAAGTCTGTAAGTTTGCGTTATAAAACTGTCTTGGGAGGCGTTTGTAAATATATTTTAACAGTAATCCTTATAAATAAGAAGATTATAATGACGACGTGTGATATTTTCTTAAAGGCCTCATTAGAAATGCTGAATAACGTATTTTTGACTTTGTAGACCACCTGAAATAGACGTTTGTGTTTCTGCAAGAGGATCAGCCGAGCCTTGGAATCCTTCAGCTGTCGACGTTGCATCTTCTTCTCCTCTTCCAGTTGCAGAATTCGTCGACGTAATCGCATCAAATTAGGCCTGATAAAGACGATGCTGTTGGCAAACTCGACTGGACTGTTTATGGCATCGAGATAAACTATTTGATCCAAGCGTAAAATAACCACTACTTGTAGTTCATTAATTTTTTTTTGTTTTTCAATCTGTGCAAAAATAGAGGAAATGAGGAAAGCAATGTTATTTTATAAGAACAGAGAATCTTTTTCAAGATATCACATAAATATCTTTTTACCTTTGAGGTCTAACTTAAAAGTAATATATAACATATGTTTAATAGTCAAAAATAACTAAAAATTTCACAAAGGATATTCTACTTATCTTTTCTCATACTAGGCGGGGATTGATTTTTTCTGTATAATTATTGGTGACAATTTGAGAGTATTTATAGGTACTGTTTCCATCAGATATGAAGGTATGTTTTTCAAGGCTTTAAGACTGTAGGAGTATATTGAATTGAAGCCAGTTAGGAAACAATGCAAGCAAACAATAAAAAATTTAGCATGTGTGCCTGTAGTAAAAAGTCATATCCGTTCTATGCAAATAGGACACTTGAAAGACCCAATCAGACATATCAAACTATATGAAGCTCGGATATTGGATGAAATGTAATCCGTATAAGTAAGGAGAAGGTTAGAAAATTATGTTTGTTATTGAATAAAAATTTTGATACTAAAAATTAGAGCACATGAATGTGTATGAGAGGATGAAATATGAAGATGTCTTCAGAGTAAAACCATTAATAGTTTCAAATAAAGTTTCAGCATAGATTATGAACGAATAAATGAGTACTGATGGGAGTTCATATAATTGCTTATCAGCCATGATCCTTCACTTCGATATAACTTTGAGATAATAAATATTTTTGCCTTGTCTGGCTACAGATGTTCTAATCACTTTCCTATTAATTTCGGGTCTAGACTTGGTCCCTTAATCAATATAAGCTTATCCGTTAATGTTTATTAATTGTAGTAAGTTTATTAAAATAACAAGAAAGAGTTATGTTTTTATCCTAGATTTTCATTAATCTTATTACAATAGCTCTTGGTTAATTCTTTAATAAAAGTTCATCTATTATTTTAGACAAGAAGCTCCATGAACCCTCTTAAACATTGCATGAAAGCTTGTCTGATTAAGGGACTAGAAGAATATGGAAAAAATAATGGATCTGATATTTATAGTGTCTATATTCTTGTGACTTGCTCTTCTGTTTATATTAAGCATTTGCATATCCAAAACGATTTGGTGGTTAGAAGTAAGCTCGAAATTGAACTTAATTTCCTAAAATTTTGAAAGAGAATTTCAATTTACGCTGGTAAAAATTAGTTGTGAAAAATTGAACTTTAGATTGCAGTAAAAATATAACTATTCTATTGCCTAACGAGGAAGGATATGAAAGAACCGAATAGTAAGTTTAATAAATGAGATCAATATGATCTTTCAAGTAACTATGCCAAATATGCGTTGAATATTGGTGCCATGGCCCAAAGAACTAGGCTAAACTGGTTATGTACTTTATGCTAAACTACTAACCTTGAAATAGTATACTTTAAGGACATTTTAAGGTTAAAATCAAAGAGGATGAATGATCAGTGTAGTCAATATATTATTAGAAGCTGAAGTGTTCCTGAGAACACAGCCTTCTATCTTATCCTTTGTTTTGCTCTCAGAGCTATTCATGCAGAATGCCTTACCATATGGGACTCAAATTCCTAAAAAGATGAGCTCTTGTCTATATTTACCCATATATAAAGTTTTTATATCATAGCTCCTCGACAAGGAAAGCACACCTTTTACTATATGTCATTGACTATGACGTGAAATAATGGGTTCGAGTAAATATATGTTTACCAAAGCTGTTTTACCACAGAGATAATAGGGAGACAGAGTAAAATTATTAGTCAAAGATAGTTAATAAAACTCTCTTTCTTTATTTTCTTATATAAGTAGAGTTTCGAGACTACCAGTAAATCAGTAGTATGAGATGTATTTACTTTATTTCGTATAAGTTGATGAAGGACTGGTGGAAGAATTTTATCACAATGATATGAGTAGAGCTTACGTTTCCATGGTATTTCACAGAGCCTTGCTTTCCCGAAAGTAGTCCTCATCAAGGGTCGAAACAGCAGTCCACCCTGGATGAGAACAACTTTTGGGAAAACAAGGCTATGTGAAATACCATGGAAACGTAAGCTCTACTCATATCATTGTGGAAA